AGTGGAGAAGATTCCGATCTCTAACACTCACTGCGTACTTCCTGATCAAGGCCCGAAGTGGCTGGCTCCTGATCCACTGCTGCAACTTACACCTCGGCACAGCAAGCTCACATCAGCCGTGGCCTGCATCGTCGGAAACTACGATACAGGTTCCGGTCACTCCCAGTGGTCACAGCAGAGAACGATCGTCTTGTTCGGTCAGTTAGTGTGACTAACCCATTAAAGGGGAGTTTTATCCACGGGAGCATATTTTATTTAACTCCTACCCTTTGAACCACATCAACTAAGAGACCTAGTGTCATCCGAGGACAGCGAGTGTCAACCCATCTGCTACGGGGAGACGCGCCTGGTAGCAGTTTCTCCTCTGCCGCAGGGTGTGTGTGTGTGTGTGTGTGTGTGTGTGTGTGTGTGTGTGTGTGTGTGTGTGTGTGTGTGTGTGTGTGTGTGTGTGACTCGCTTACGTTTTCGATAACTTTCGAACAAATGTGTGTGTGTGTGTGTGTGTGTGTGTGTGTGTGTGTGTGTGTGTGTGTGTGTGTGTGTGTGTGTGTGTGTGTGTGTGACTCGCTTAGAACTTTTGAACAACTGAACCGATCGGAACGAACTAAACGGCGTTCTAAAGAGTTCCCTCAAACTGAGATTTCCTGAGAATTTGAACCGATTCGGACCGATAGATTTTGAGAAATGTTGAAAAATCTAAAAAAAAAATAAGTAAAAAAATCATTTTTGAAAGTGGTTTTTTTGGAATATCTTTTAAACAGCTCTATCGATCAACTTCAAAATCCGCCCTTAGGCTTGAAAAACCACGCCGATCGGCGCTAATCTGGTCAGAATCGGTTGATTCGTTCGAGAGATAGCGTGAGCGAAAGAAAACCGAAAAAAGTTTTTTTTTCACATAACTTCGATATTTCTTTACGGATCGTTTTTGGTGAAATAAAATGATTTTTAGAGCTCAAAAAACCGCGTTGATCGCCACCAATAACGTAATAATCGGTTGATTAGTTCGAGAGATATCCTCGACGAAATATTTGGAAATAAGGATTTTTTCAACATAACTCCGACATTTTTTGGAATAACTTTTAAACAGCTCTACCGATCGATTCCAAAAACTAATTAGCTCTTAACATAAAAAAACCACGTCGATTACTACCAAGCTGATAAAAATCGGTTGATTTGTTCGAGAGATATCGTGAACGAAAGAAAACCGAAAAAAGTGCTTTTTCGGGATTACTCCGAAATTTTCTGTTTGATCAATTAAAACCTGAAAATCACTTATGACGATGATAAAACTGCGTCGAATGGCGCCAACCACGTGAAAATTGGTTGATCCATTCAAAAGTTATTGCGGTTTGAAAATTCCAAAAATAGTGTACTATGAAACTTCTATCAGACTTTTGAGCTGGGAGAGCTCAAATGCATAGAAATATCATTTGTTTGAACTCAGCGAGCTCAAAATATCACATAAATTTTTTTTTTGAGCTTAAAAATCTCAAAAATGTCATAAGTACAATTTCAAGCGCCCAGGAATGGAATTAGCGGGAAGTTGCACGGATGGCCTTGAGGGTGAACCGTTTTTCTAATTTTTTTTTTTTTCAAATGCTTAAATTGAAAATTAATTATTTAACAAAAATAATTACAAATCGTCAAAATTAAAAAGGGCGCCACCGGGGTTTTATAACGCGGTTCCCGGAACCGGAACCAGAGCTGAGTTTAATAATCTACAGGGAGAGAGAGTGGAGGAAGGTGATCTGCAATGAATAAATTTTTACTTAACAAAATAACCGGTATTTATTTAACAACAAAATCAAATAACAACTTGTGCACTCGCACGCACACTTTCTCACTTAAAACTAACTTAACACTACGACTTATTACTACTCGAGGATTTCGGGCTAAAACTGTCGCCTCGACTCAACTTAATCTAGGTAGCCAGCAAAGCACCTCGTACAGAGGCTATCGTATACGAGGGCGATGTGTAAGTTCCTTACGCACTAAACCCACGAACTCCACTAACTCAACTTAACGTAGGTAGTCAGCAAAGCACCTCGTACAGAGGCTATCGTATACGAGGACGATGTGTAAATTTCTTATAACTAACAAAAGGTCTTATTCCCGCAGTACCCTCACAGAGCGTCTATACTGCAGTTTTCTATCTACGTCGCGCTGTCCACAGAACCCTCACAGAGCGTCTATACTGCAGTTTTCTATCTACGTCGCGCTGTCCACAGGACCCTCACAGAGCGTCTATACTGCAGTTTTCTATCTACGTCGCGCTGTCCACAGGACCCTCACGCTCTAGGTAGGCAGCGAAGCACCTCACACCGAGACTATCGTATATGAGTGGACGCTGTTCACACACACACACACACACACACACACACACACACACACACATACCCCGCACGATCTTCACACACATATCCCGCTCACATACACACTGACTCTATTTTACTTTTATTAATAAAAATTATCACAGAATTTAATTCTAAAATTAATCTCCAAAAATTAACTACATTAATTTTCTCTAAATTTGTCCAGTCATTAGCTCGCAAATAAAACCATAAACTATTCCCAAAATTTAATAATTTATTTCTCAAAATTCCGGACTAAATCGACGCCTAAACTTATTCCCAGTTTACCACGAGTTTCCCGAGTCGAAATCTCCAACGTTATTCCAACGTTTCCAACGTCTCAAACGTGTTTCCAACGTTTCCAACTTTACAAATAAATAAAAATTCATGTAGACATGAAAGACAAAAAATGCATATAATGTATAGTGATCATTCCACGCCAAATCGACCACCTTTGAACCCGATTCCTTCCAAATTTTTTCTTAAAGTGGGATTCCTTCATTTAATATTTATAACTTTTCACTAAGAAAATTGAAAATTGTGTGTGTGTGTGTGTGTGTGTGTGTGTCAGTGCGTGCGTGCATGCGTGCGTGCGTGCGTGTGTAAGTATGTGAATCGCTTATAACTTTTGAACGGTCGAACCGATTTCATCGCGGTTGGTGCCTTTCGAAAGGGCTTCACCAAACTTAGATTTCCTAAGAATTTAAACCGATTCGGACGGATAGATTTTGAGAAATTTTGAAAAATCTAAAAAAAAATAAGAAAAAAATCATTTTTGAAAGTGGTTTTAATATCTTTCAAACGGCTCGATCGATCAACTTCAAAAACTAATCCGCCCTTCAGCTTGGAAAACCACGCCGATCGGCGCTAATCCGGTCAAAATCGGTTGATTCGTTCGAGAGATAGCGTGAACGAAAGAAAACCGAAAAAAGTGTTTTTTTCACATAACTTCGTCATTTCTTCTCGGATCGTTTGTGATGATATAGAATAATTTCACAGCTTAAAAAACGGCGTCGATCGCCGCCAAAAACGTGGAAATTGGTTGATTAGTTCGAGAGATATCCTCGACGAAATATTTAGAAATGAGGATTTTTTCAACATAACTCCGACTTTTTTGGAATAACTTTCAAACAGCTCTACCGATCGATTCCAAATACTAATCAGCTCTTAACATCATAAAACCACGTCGATTGCCACCAAGCTGGTCAAAATCGGTTGATTCGTTCGAGAGATATCGTGAACGAAAGAAAACTGAAAAAAGTGTTTTTTCGGGATTACTCCGAAATTTTTGGTTCGATCAATTAAAACCTGAAAATAACTTATGAGGATGATAATCAAGCGTCGAATGGCGCCAACCGCGTGAAAATTGGTTGATCCATTCAAAAGTTATTGCGGTATGAAAATTCCAAAAATAGTATTCTATGAAACTTCTATCAGACTTTTGAACTGGGAGAGCTCAAATACATACAAATATTATTTCTTTGAACTCAGCGAGCACAAAATATCACATAAATTATATTTTGAGCTAAAAAATCTCAAAATTGACTTCTGACGAAAGCTTTTCTCATTGAGTGATCTCATTTGCTTGTCAACAGCCACCGGTAATCGGAAAAAATAGACGGGAAAAAATAGACTCGGAAAAAATAGACCGGAAAAAATTTTTATTTTTTTTTTCACTCAGTAGGAATCTTTTTGGTGACTGAAAAAATATAATTCGGACAGCCCGGACGGGGAATCGAACCCGGATCGTTCGGTTACGCGCCAAAGGCTTTACCAGTTAAGCTATCCGAGACCTTGTCCGTAACTACAATTCAGTCACCTATTAAACCTGACTTGAGTGAACGCCACCGTCCATATTACGGCAATAACAAATATTAATTTGTAATTTTTAAATTTGTCATGTGGACAGGTCAGTGACAAGATCGGGGATACAATGTCGGGGGGATATATTGTCGCGGGATCATTTATCCGGGATCACTTATCATGTCACCATCAAGAACCAGTAATAACTGTTAGTGGTGTCACTTACAAACGCAAAAATATTGAGGAACATTTACAGTGAATAGGTCACTTCGATGCTGTCACGTCATTTCTAAATGAAGAATAATGATTCAAGCTTGTCAAAAAATTTACGAAGAGGATCAAAAGTACGCAGGAAATTTCTTTATAAAAAATGTATGTTTGTTTTTAAAAATAATTATTATGATTGAAAGGAAATAACCCTAAAAAATTTTTTTTCAGGATAAAAACGGAGACATGCCTATGGAGAACTATTAGTCCTTGGATGATGTTGGCATGACAGTCATTATAAAATATCGCCATTTCAACAGAGCGATGATATTTTGTTAAAGAATATCATCTACAAAATGATATGGTAATCAAAATTTTATATTTTTATAACTTGTTGAAAATCACGATAAATAAAATAATACAAGTATTAGTTTATTCTAAGATACATTACTTCGTATGGTTTTTAATATTTCCAATCCGATATATAATAAATTTCTGAGAGATTCTAGAGCAAGAGTGTATTTTTATTTTAAAGTTTATTGAATTCGTTTACGAGGTATAAAAAAAAAGACGTCGAAACGCTTATGCTCTTTTATTAAAATCCGCAATAACAATACATTGAAGTAGATAAGTTGTTTATTCCAACTCGTGGCTGTTGAGAGGTAAACCTAAATACATTTCTTCTTCAACATTCATAATTATACACACAGTATCAATATTCACAATGGGAACTAACAAATATCTTCCTCCAGCAAAATATTTATGTAGATATTCAAGGGTGTTGAAAGTAAAATTGTCACTACTTACTGTAAATAATTCTTCTGTGATAACTTGTTGCGTAACTGCAAAGTGTGCTCCGGGACATCCACATATTTGTCGTCTGCAATTGCAAAATTGAACTTTGATGAATTACTCAATCAATCCCAAGTATGATCTGTTATTGATCGAATATTTTATTCCATCTGATCGTGTTTGTAACTCTTTCGGATACAAATTTGAAACATACAATTTCTTGTTCCGCAAAATCTTAAAATATTTTAATATTTTTGTAATATTCTCTACGTTTGTATTGTTCAGCATTTCTACTAAGTTAGGTGGTATTTCATCTAAGTATACATATGTTCCCACGCTGTAAGAATTTTGTTCAATTTGTTCAATTAATTTGGCTTGATTTTTTAAAGTGAAACTTTTATTACATCGTCTCAAACTTTTTCGTCTGTGTAGCGCATGTCGCGTGACGGTCGATAGTAGGGATAAAGTGAAAGGTGCTCGTCAGAGCAGCCAAGGCCAATATAGCGGCGCCCATAGCTCGGGTTGCAGTCAACTAGTCAGACTGACAACATTCCAAATTAATAAATTACTAGAACTTAGAAAGTAAATATTAAATGTAATTTAAAATAATTAATTTTATAAATTTTAAAATTCCGAAAAATATAATCTTAAATGAAGAAAAAACTAAAGCTGTGTTAATAGAATCTTTCAAAGTCACAAAGTCTCAATAAATTAAAAAACATAACAACGAAAATTTGTACGCCAAAATGAATAAACAGACGAACACTTATTTAGCCGAAAAATTTAAATAATTTTATATGTAGATTAGAAATTTTTTAAAATTAATTATTTTAATTAATTTTATTTTAATTTACAAGCATGTATGGAAAACACTCAAATTTCATGCTTGTAAAGGTGGACGATCTAAGAAAAATTTCCAATTTTTGGAATGAGTAATTTTCGACCAAATCATTATTCGGATAGATGAGTATTTGGATGAATATACGTCGGAACGAACCTTTTTCGAAATCAAATTAATTTTAACTCTTGAGGAATATAATATTTATATTTATATTCGATAACCCGGTGTTTTATAATTTACAAAATTGTTTTTCGGCTGGTATTCTATTTAAGCTAATGTATTTTATAAACTGAATATAGCGGAATTTTAAATTTTCTAGAGTTTTAATAATTCGGAATGTTGTCAATCTGACTGATTGACCACAACCCCATAGCTCGCATCAGCTAACCATGTAGCATTTATATTCAAATGCAATATAAGACGTTGTTTACTCTCTAGAAAAACAAAAGGATCATAAATGATTCTTCATGTACTGAACTTTCATAAGAGATAGAATTTGAAAAAATTCGAAATATTAATAGTTTAATACTTTAAAAACTTTTTAATTCTTTTGTTTTATCAGAGCTTATTTTCGTTACTGTGAAATATTAGTTACATTTATAAACTACGAGACTCATGGCAAAAATAAAGTTATTGATAGAATAATTTAATTGGAAGGTAGATTTCGATATAATTAACAGTTAAAAAATTATATTAAACAATAAATTCTTAAATTATCAGTGAAAAATCACAATTTATTTTAAATGAAACCACCGTTAGTTCTATTACACGGACTAATATAACCCGTCTACCAAAAACTGGCAGAAATTGAAATTCTTATAATCTTAATAAAATCATCATTCGGTAAATGTTTAATAGATCAAATTAACGACGCAATTTTATCAACCATAAGATAAGTTTTAAAGAAAAAAAAATGCAAAGATGATCGAAGAAAAATGTTTAAGACCATCAAAAAAGTTATATTATAGTAAAAATTTAGCTATACCGTATAAATATAAAATCATTCTTTATCATATGAATTTAATTGAATATTATTTCAAATTTTTCTAAATCAACTAATTTTGGAGTTGCAAAGTATCAATAATTTACAATTGATAACTATAAAATATTTTAATTATTTATTTAAAATATATGTGTCTTATAAAATACTAAATTTCATTAAGATCCGTTAATGACCATAAGCACAATCACGGCAACATACCCTAGGCTGACCTTTTTCATTTACCAATTAACAAGTTAGGATGAAAAACGCAATTTTAAAACCCTAAATTGATTAATTTTCTGAAAATTTTTAGTTGAATGTCAACAATCCAAAAAAAGTTTCACTTGCATTGTGGTTTCATAAAACCACACAATAATTTTTTTACTTACACAAAAATCTAAAATCTCTCCATCCGGTAGTGTTTCGATATACCTCACTTTTCGTGTGTTTCTTACGTGAGAGTTAGCTGCTTGTGAGTCAATATGGTTTGTCCCATGGATCGATTGTAAAGTTAAACCATTAAGATTCTCGTACTCGAAGCATAAATTTGACCATAAGGGTCCAAGTCTTCGAACGCAGTCCGGTAAATGACGTACTTGATGAATATTAATTGAACAAAATCGTAGTCCATATAACCGTTGAAAATCTTTTGTGAATTTATTCAAGAAGTCCTCCGCAATATCAATTAAATCTAGTGTTATATTATCGAAACTAAGAATCGCACACGCAGTAATTAAAAGTTGGTAATTTTCGAATAAATCTGGTCTTAAAATTCCGTTCAACACAGGAAGTGAATAATAGAATGCCCATACCCTTAATTCTGATGCTTTCCAATGAATCATTTCAGAAATAGAGCGAGACATCCAATGAATTAATCTTGGTGGTTTAATTGCTAATAAACGTGCGTCAACCGTTTCAATCATGTGGTAGAGTGAAAAACCTTCATCGCGATACTTATAATCGAATAGAAGAGTTAATATTTTTTTAATTACACCGCCATCTACGCAATGCATCCTGTCGATAGCTAATCCCCCGATGAAATCCGGCATGTAGTTGGCAAGAGCAGTGGGGCCCTTAACTCCAAAAAGTGGATTCTCTTCCGTTGCCGTTTGAGACCATTTGATACAGTTGGCTGATGTTCTCATGACCACTTGTTCTTCGTATGGGTAGACATGAGTTGATCCATGTTCTGTTTCAACATTCTCTCTTTCTGTACAACATGTCATACATCCAAATGCGCCGTTGAATTTTTTGAAGTTCAGGAAATCGGATTTTGCTGGAGTATCAGCTGTTCCCGAAATTAAAATACCTCAAACTCTAATAGGATTTATATGATTTGATAATATTATATCAACTCCTTCAGCTAGCTTCGATAATTGATTTTCAAATTTACTCATGAAAAGATTTGGATTCGGTTTTGACTTGCCAAACCATAATCCCAGTAGTAGAGTATTTTCTCTTAATTTTCTGACAAAAAATGGTAACTCATTAATTGTTAAAAAAAAGGTGTCATGCTAATCTTGGATGATTTAAATACAGGAACACCGTCAGTGTACCAACTGAAAGAAATATTATTTGGGTCTTGCAAAAATCCATTGTTAAACCAATATTTATAAATAGACCCGTCGTAAATGTCCGCTATTACGTTATTGTTTACTATTCTTTGAAAACGATGTTGTAATAATGCAAAAAATGTTTCTCGGTTAAACATCTCTTTTAATAGTTTTAAAATAGGTGATGTAATGAAATAGGAATTTTTAGTATTTTCACACGATGGACAATTATCATCTATTGATTCCAACTCTCGTTCACATGTCGTACAATAAAAATGGTTATCAATCACCTGATTATCTTGCTCCAAACTAAAGTATTTTTTAAATTTATACAAGCTGTTTTTTACTAAGTCTTCTCTTGGACAGTGTAACTGTATTACTCGTATGATATCTTCAACACAAGTCATAGTGACGTTGTGATTGATCAAAAGTGTCAAAATTAAAAGCATACTTTCTCTTACATTTATGGGCGCTCCAGTAAATAATAGATCATCACCGATTAAACCCACATCATCCTCATCTTCGTCGTTATTATTAATATTATTATTTACATTAATTCCCTTCAGATTTTCACGATTCATGTTTACTGTTGTTGTTACTTCAATTTTATGAATATAGTTTGAGTTTACTAATTAATTACTAATAATAATATAAGAAATAAAAAAAATAATTAATAACAAAAGAATACTGATTAAAAATGTCAGTTTAATTACATTAATTATCGAAAACAAACCCTAAATGGAGATTAAGTAAATATTATTAATTGAATATGTATATATGGGGCATTCCACGCCAAATCGACCACTTTTGACCCTGACCCCTTTTGATTCGGCTGAAAGTTTACCATCCTTTTCTACCCGATCAAAAACGTCTTTCATAATTTTTTCAAATTTTTTTACCCAACCAAAAAAAAGTTCCGAATTTTTCAAAAAAACCGCTTTTTTATTTTTAAATTGCTATAACTTTTTCAAAAATTGGCTTATCGGGACGTTTTTTTTTTTTCAAAATTTTTGTTATTAAATGTTCTTTTTGGAAAAAAATATAAAAAAATTCTTTAAAGCTATCTTCATCGTTATTTTTAAAATTTTTAGAACAAACTCCGAATTTTTTGATGAATACCATTTTTAGTTTCTTTTTTCTTTTTCTCATTCTAAACTTTGACATTTTTTACAGATATCATGAAATTTCCAAAAAGGTGTTTTTCCGATTTCTATTTTTTCTTTTCAATTAAAAAAAAAAATTTTTCTTCTTTTGTCGTATTTTTCATAACACCGGTCCAAAAATTTACGGGAATCCTCAAAAAACAAGAAAAAAGTAAAGAACCAAAAGTTGAACATGTTTAACATCGAGAAAATCAATTTTTTTTAAATCAAAGAAGAAATTGAAAAACAATTGTTTTTTTTATTTAATGCTTAATGAATGGTGGGCGTCGAAATGAACAATTCTCTGATACTCTAAGTTTTATAATTAAAACGGTTTTGTCAAATGGTTTAATAAATGACTATAATGTCTGAAATGCAATAATTCTTAAACTGATAAAAACATTTTCCTTAGCTAAGCAAAAAAATATTCTTTAACAATATTGTTTCTAATGATGGCAATTAATTTTTTTTTTTATGAGGAGGATTCATCGGTGGCGCAAACTATCATTTCTCGACGACTTCTAGAGTAATTTAAAAATAGATTTGAGCCTTCACAAGGATGAATAATTTTAAAAGCAATTCTGAGAAGCTAAACTGGTTAACTTTTAGTTATAGAACTAAAATATAGATTTTTTGTTGTTTTTCAATTTCTTTTGTTTTAAAAAAAAATTGATTTTCTCGATGATTAACATATTAAACTGACCGTTCTATACTTTTTTCTTGTTTTTTGAGGATTCCCATAAATTTTTGGACCGGTGTTATGAAAAATACGACAAAAAAAAAATTTTTTTTTTTTAATTGAAAAAAAAAATAGAAATCGGAAAAACACCTTTCTAGAAATTTCATGATATCTGTAAAAAATGTCAAAGTTTAGAATGAGAAAAAGAAAAAACAAACTAAAAATGGTATTCATCAAAAAATTCGGAGTTTTTTCTAAAAATTTTAAAAATAACGATGAAGATAGCTTTAAAGAATTTTTTAATATTTTTTTCCAAAAAGAA